GGAAAATACCATAATATGACTTTAGAGGTGACTATTTGACATTTTTTTTCCATGCAATCACCCTCTCCGTGCTCCTCCTGCTTGTATCTAAGTTTAGGAGCGACGTACTTAACTCGCAAATCCCCTCCACGACTGAAAACATCTATAAAGTCTAGAAAATAAGAACAATCCCTCTGGTTCATTTGTGTTTTCCCTCCTTTGTGTTGGTGTCTGCGTGTGGAAAGTGGACATTAAGCATCAGCGCTCGTGCTCAGAGCTTCCTAATACAACCACATCACTGAACATGTCTCCAGCCGCAGCGCCAAAAACATTCAACCGCGACAACATGTGCTTTCTGTCTCTCGCCTCCATCTGTTTCCCTCCTGAACGTTCAGTTCCTCCTCTCTCTCTCTCTCTCTCTTATCTGTCGGCTGGTTTTATCTCCATCTTTATGTTTATCTGTCTGTCTGAGTCTGATTCCCGGCATAGACTGTCCTCTCATTCCGCTTTGTTTACACTTGGCCCTGACATATCTATTCACGGCGTTCTGCTGGCTCGCTCAGATGCGATGTGCTGTTACATAACTCTCGCATATACGCCGCCGTAGGAATGTCGCTCTGTGGAGCTGCTGCGTTGACTTAAACCTCGCTGGATGCTGGAGATCAAGTAGCTTCTGAAACGGTGCGATCACACAAGGTGAAGTCGGTGATTGTACGCTTTTTGAGAAGGACGATGAATCAGAGACGTTATCAGCCGGAGACTCAACACCTTAAGAATCCTGAATCCTCTGCTAGGATTCAGTATCACTATAGACGGTGCTTGGATGATATCTGTCCCGACCAGTCCCCTAAAAACCAATCATCTGCTTCGTAATGGCGGAAGCAGAAAGGTCTGTGAAGATTCATCCAGGTCATGGTTCTTCTCGTAGTTTAATCAACTGGACTTGCTTGAGTTCCTTGAAGATGTTCCACCTCTCATCCAAGAGGCTTCATCAGCTCTGACTGAGTAGTTGAGAAGGATCAACAAACCCCCAACTGAAACTGAAACTCAGGTGTTAATGGCTCCTTAAGGATATCAGTATCTGGAACTCCCAAATAGTCAGTCAGACCTGATGAAGCCTCTTGGACGAAACGTTTTCAAGGAACTCAAGCAAGTCCAGTTGATTAAACTACGAGAATGACAATGACCTGGAGGACTGAGAGACATCTAGGCATTGAATCTTCAAGGACAAAGGACACTTATTTGAAGACAGTAATGCACAGATTTTTGGCCTTCAGGGAGGACAGATGGTTTGAGAGAGGAGTGAAAGAAGCCATCTAACTGGAAAGACCATCCCTCAACAGAGGTGGAGGTCTGAGGCATCACCTCTCTCCCCAGGAAGATGAACCCACATCCACACCTAGCCACAAAAGACCCTAACGAACCCCATTGTGACAGGGGGAGCACTAACGACTCACATAACTAGGGGGAGGAGCAACAAACTCAGGTGTTAATGGCTCCTTAAGGATATCTGGAACTCCCAACTAGTCAGTCAGAGCTGATGAAGCCTCTTGGATGAGAGGTGGAACGTCTTCAAGGAGCTCAAGCAGGTCCAGTTGCTACGATTAAACTACGAGAACAGAAGCAGAAAAACCACTTGATACGCCTTATTTTGGGGTAAAGTTACCAAACTTTTAAAGTCGATTTGATCAGATTTATGAGGTGAATGCAGCTTTTATGTCCTGGTGCTTACTGAAATTGCAGTTGTGACTCTTACCTCATTAATTTACAACAACATAAAGGTATAAATGCAGCCTGCAAGTCATAGAAAGAAATGTTCTCGTCGCCCCACACCAAGGCCTCCATCTGATGGCGTCATAATCGGGTCCGCTGGGAACCGCTCACATTGGCTGGACACCGAAGAGACGGAGGATGTTCTTTCTCACTGGAGGATCTTGTTTTCAGCTGTGCATAGCAGATGGCAGACGTCACCGCTGGCATCATGTAGGGGAATGTCATGCAGACGCCAACATCGTACCGAGAGCGGAGATGGGAAGAGGCACGCCAAGGAGGAAGAGCGTGTTTAGCATGCAGTTGATTGACGGCTAAAATCCTCGTTATCCCGTCCAACAAACATCCACATGTCTCCAGAATGTGCACCTCCATTAGCAGCTGGAAACACTCCAGTCCTGCCTCCAGCCTGCAGACACGTCTCCCGTCCAACACCACGACCGACAGCGTGGTCTTGTCTCCAGAAACATTCATGGACTTTGCCAGCGTCATTCCATGAGTCGACAACCTGATTAGCTTCCTGCACGACAGATGTTGGACACACTTGACTTGTAATATCCAGCTATCGTTTCCACTATCGGCTGCTTCGTGACATTTGTTCTGTTGTTGGGACGACTTCTGCTGGAACAACAAATACTGAAGCCAAGAATAAGAGATAGGTGTGGACCATCTCCCATATTTAGATTGATGTAGGTAGGATGGTGTTACCAAGAAGATTAGCCTGTAAGGAGTTAAATCTGCAAACCAGCTAAACATCAACACCTTCCTCCAGACTCCACTTCTATTGAATGCCACGTTTTAAATTAATTTAAGCCCTTTTACTGCATTAAAGTTGAATTAACTGAATTTAAAAACCGGTTTAAAATTCATCTTGTGTGTTATGACGTTGGCCAGACTCGAGAAATCAAGTTCCACAAACTTAAGACGCGCTCTTAGTCGAATCAACAAGTCGCAGAGACAAATGTTGAGGTCACATAAAAGAACATAAGGAGCCCGTTTTCATTTGATAGAACGGATTTATAGCTGTGGTCGCCGTAGGAGCCTTTTCGTCCCCCAAGAAAATGTGTTGAATGATGAAGTCTATGGGAGTCGGAACCGAATAATCTCCATAATGGGCGGCAGTGTTTTAGTTACGAGGCGCGGAAACAAACACGGCCTATTTTAGGACGACATGGAAACACGCTATTATTTATGTTTTCTTCAGACTAAGGGTTTCTGGAGGGTTTTAAAACCGCTCGGTTTGACGAAGCAACATTTCTGTGTGATGTTTTACAGTTCAGAGATTAAAATACAACAAAACCCCCAAAGAAAATTGTGCATGTACTCAATTATTTTGCTTAGAATTTTGATTTCATTTGAACATTTTCATCATATATGTCTACTTTAGGGCATTTTCTGGAAAAAACAAAAACTTTTTGCTCCACTACATTTGTTATTTTTTTCTTATATTGCAGATTTAATTCAATAAAACAAAATACAATCATGACTCGATAATCCGACACTAAATGTAAAACCTTCTTTTATGTCGGATTGTCAAGACGGAGGTCCAGATACAAGGAGGGCTTGATGCTGGAAGGATCATTAGTTGTTCATTATTGTTCATAGTTGTTATAATAACTAGTAGGGCTGGTCCCAATAGCACTTTATGGTCTCAATTAATGATGAATATCAGAACATTGGGTGCGGTCGGGGGACACTTCCACCCCGGGGCAGCGCTCTGACGGGGTGGAAGTGTCCAGAACACACAGGCAGTACTTGGCTGCTGATGCTAGTTTAGTTAGCGCTCACACTTCTGTTTCCTCCATCGGTGGCGGCGGGGGAGTGGCAGATACGCTCCACCGTTACCATCCATGTTTACTTCCATAAACACTGAGCACGCTCGCTGCGTGTGACGTCGTCGTGTCCTCTTCTGCGCATGCGGGACACTTTTGGCTCGTATGAAGTTCACACAGCAGATCACATACAAGTCGCACTGAAGTGGAAACGTGAAGGAAGTCACAAAGAAATCCTCATTGAGCATCAAGTCCTGCAGTGTGAACGTAGCCAATCTGTGGGATTGTTCAGTCAGATAATACGCCGTCATCCTGATTGGTGACATTAAATGTCATGTCGGAGTCACAATCCAAGGCTGTCGCTATGTTAAGACTGATTTTATGGGTTCTGTTGGTTTTTCCTAAAAACCTGTCGGATAGCAGGTTTAGGATTGTTAAGGGTCGGATTGTAGAGTCACGACTGTATACTGAACCAGCTTCAACATTTTTTTTCCTTTATTTGGAACCAAAAATTTAAAACAAAAGTCAACATTTGAGCAAACTTCGAAAAGGTTTTTGGAAGATTACTTTTAGTTTTGGTACTTCAAGTGTATTTAAGTGTAATTAGCATTTAAACACATGGCTTTCAGTTGTAACTGAGTATTTCTACTCTTTAGTATCGTCAGTAGAAGATCCGAGACCTTCTTCGTTCATGTGGAGCTCTCCGGTCTTCTAACACGGTGGTCTTTGTGATGGAAAAAAACCAGCAGAGTTCATTGTCAATCGGAAACCGCAGCTTTCATTCGTGACACTTAAAGCGGCATTACCCATAAACAACCTTTTTCTTCTTTTAAACAATCGGTTTAATCAGTGTTCTCTGGTAACTCTTTACTTTAACCACCACATTAAGCCTTTATGGGCACTAAACAAACATTTATTAAATGTCTCACACTCTGACCCAGCAGCGTAAAGTCTAGTTCTGCTAATTTCACTAATAAAGCCTCTCCTGTGAGGACACGTTTCGTCTGAGCCGTGTCATTCGTTTATGGGTGCCCACCAGAGGAGTCAGTAAATCAGCCCTTGTACCTGCCAACAGGGAAGGGAATTCCAAACCCAGAGCTGCTCTACATGCTTTTCCATGCTCTCAGAGGCATGTTTGGGCCAAAGCGCCGGGCCCGTCACTGTTGTGTCTCCGTGTTCTTTTCATCTCGTGCTGCCGTGCTGTCAGACAGCAGCGAATATCATCAGGTGGCTGCTATGGAGGGCAGGTTGGACGTCCAAAGCCCCCCCCCTGTTTACCACCGGCTTGTTTTTCTCCATTCCTCTGCTCGCCGTCACCTACGCTGTGGAAGGCGTGGGAGTCGGGGAGAGAGTGAGCTAATGCCCACCACGTCTGATTAAACGGTGGAAAAGAGGGCTGATAGTATGAGGAAGGGAGGAGAAAGGGCGAGGGCTGGAGGGGAGGGAGCCAGTGGGTAGCAGTGATGGGGTGGGGGGAACGAGGGATGAGTATAAAAGCTTTGCTGTGGAGAATTAGGAAATATTCCTCGAGAGGAAATCCTCAGAGATATTTTCCAAACTCCACGCTGCGTAATTATCTCTCCCGGTGAGTACATCGTAACGAATCGGCTCTGACGGCAGGTGATGGGGTTTTTAGAATACTTGCATTTTTCTTTATTTGCTGATGCTTCTGTTGAAATGCTTCTGTCCTGGTAGAGCAGCGTTCATGTGTGCTTCATGTGTAGCCTCGGCTCGCTTCCAGCATCGTTTTCCAATGAGGTGGGCACATTCTGCCCGCAGGGGGGAACCGAGGGAACCCGCTGGGACCCCTGCTAGGCATCAGATGGGCATAAAACTCTGCAGACACTGTAGTCAGCACCTCACACACACACACACACAAGTTGTCCTTGCCAGTCTTTGCGAGTTACTCTTTGAACTTCAGGCCCGCAGGCTCGTGTTTTCTGTGCCCACTGTGAGTCTGGGTTTGACTGGAGCCAAAATATGCCTAAAGGGGCGGATGTTATGAGCACCGTGAGTGTGTGTGAGTGAGTCGTATGTGTGTGTGTGTGTGTGTGTGAGTGTGTGTGTGTGTGTGTGTGTGTGTGTGTGTGTAATGAAAGCTGCTATTGATGGTGGAGAGGACGGCTGCCGAAACAGAACCCCGTCCAAATCCCACAAACATAAGATGGGGATGAAAGCTTAACTGCAGTGCAGGCATGCAAATACGACCTCTATGTGTGTGTGTGTGTGTGTGTGTGTGTGTGTGTGTGTGTCGGGGTGTCCACACGTCTGCTGTTTGTACAGGTGTCACACACCTTCAGTCACTCTTGCGTGCCCTGTATGCACATGTGTTCACACGTGTGCATGCTGAGGCGCGTACCATCCAGAACCTGCAGCTTTATTATTATTATTATTATTATTATTATTACATTCCTTGCAAGTGTATCTGGACTGGATTAGTTGGCAGCTGGACAGCACTTCTCAGCCACAGCTATTCTGTGATTCCCGACAAGCCGAGGTCTGAACCGTGCGGTCGGTCCAGATCGGCCTTGACTTAAGTCCAGCACCGTGAAAAGGCCTTCTGACTGCTCGGCCGGGCCGGGCTTTACAAATAGAAGTCTGGTCTGTTCCATACATAAATCCTGCAGCCGGCATGTATAGGAGATATTGGCTGCGTCTGACTGCCGTTGAGAAACCACAGGCACAGATATAGCAGCTCTGAGCAGCTCTGAGCAGCTTTCAGCCGCCTGAGGTTCTGTTTACCCGCCGATTTAAAGCCAATTTCTCTCCACCCCCCTTTTCTCCCTTTTCTTTCACTGGCTGAAACACCTTCTCGTCTCCTCTGCAGGCGGATAAACGAGCCCCAGGATGAGGAGCCTCCTTCAGTTTGTGGCGCTCGGTGCAGCCGTCTGTCTGTGTGTCTGCTACGGTAACAGAACCTCACCGGACTCGCCGCTATCGCTCAGCAGTGTTCTGTTTATCATAACCTGTCATGTGTCAGACGCCCATCCATCATGATTAACCCGGTTCCATGTTTTTCCCGTAGATTCTCATGAAAGCACAGAATCCCTGGAAGGTGATTAAAAGTTGTCTCTCGTTCCTGGAAAAACATGCATGCTCTTCTAACTGCTGTGTTGCATTTAATCCTCCACTAACATCCCTCCCTGCTCCTGTTTCACCTGACTCGCTGCAGAGAAAAGGTTTTTTTTCTGGTGTCTAGTAAAGTTTTGTGGTTCCAGATTTGTTTGTGCCTCCAAACCAAGCCAACTCCTTCATCACGCCGCAGAGGGGCAACGTATACAACCCGCCCAGACGGAACGGAGCGGGCTATTACAACTTCATGAGGTGAAATGCGCCACCACAGGCGTGCACACGAAGCAGAAAGGCCTCCCACAGAAAATGCACACATGCCATACACACAGACGTCGTTAAGACGAAGCCTAATTAGGCCGTTAAACATCCACATGTGTCTGAAACCTCCTGTGAGACAAACACACGGAGGATGAACGCTGAGATGAGATTAAACCAGACCTGTCTTCTCCTTGTCGTCCAGGCCGACCAAGTCTCCAGCCGAGCGGCGCGCCGAGACCTGCGAGGACTACTCGCCCTGTCGCTTCTACGCCTACCGCCACGGCTTCCAGCAGGCCTACCAGAGATACTTCGGCGCCCGAGTTCAACCCCAAAGACCGGCCGGAGCTCTGCGATACTAAAAACCAGAATCGTCTTTATCGTCCTGTACGCAGCATATCGCAGTTTTATAATTTATGTCGTTGTTTTTGTGGTTCTCTTCTGGCTGAAGAAGAAAACACGTTTTTTAAAATAAAAACATCCAACATCACAACAAACCCGTCGTTGTACTCGTGTAGAAATTCACGGCTCGTCTTTTTTACATTTTTTATACTCTCAGGATGATTTTTATCTGCTATTATCACACCTTCTCTGCATTTAAGAGCTTTATGGAATATGCATGAATCATCTTTGTTATCCGGGCCGACGCTGTCTGTCAGTGATTATTTGCTTTGAACAAAATAAATAAATAAAGTTCCCTTTGTTGGGTTTGGTCTTAATCTTGTTTATGCCGTTTGTTCGCCACATGGGTTTCTGAGAACATCTGGGTTTGCAGTACGGGGCAGATGTTCTACTGTATTTT